TGAGTGGGGAAGGTGTAAACATACACCCATCTACACCTGAGGCTGTGTGTGCAGGTGAGTGAGGCAGGTGTAAACACACACCCATCTGACCTGAAGCTTTGTGTGTGCGTGAGTAGGCGGGCAGCAGATTCATGCCTGTTACCTTCACACAATTTTCACATTCGAAGCGCTTGCCGCTGTCGTGGGACATCTGGTGGCGGATGAGGTTGGACTTCCAGTTGAAGGCCTTGGGGCACTGGTCACACTTGTACTCTCGCTCCTCTGTGTGGATGATCATGTGTTGCTCCAAGCTGTGCACAGGAATCAGGGGTCACTGTGGGGCAGGAGGGGGCCCACCTCCACAGGGCTGGTGTGCCCAGGTCTGCTCTCAGTGGCCCACCCAAGGGACTCACATCACTCCTTCCTGGGGAGTGGATCAAGGCCTGGTGTCCCCTTTATCCCCTCTTCTTCTGAGAGGACACAGGGATCTGGGATGGGGGTGGTGGGTAAGATGAGGAAGCAACACCCAGACTGAGCTCAGATCCTCACCCAGTTCACCCAGATGACCCTAACCCCAAGGCTAAGTTTGGACCTAAGGGAAAAGGGATCTTGAATCATCCAACATTCCCATGAGGCCCAGAGCAGGGACAGGACCCCAGAAAACCCCAGGCCACCCCTTTGCAGGGCTTCAGGGGTGCTCTCCAGCTAGCATGCTGAGCATGCCCCCTCCCAGCCCTCAAGCCCCTAGGGGGAGGTCTGAGAATGAGCTGTGATGGGGTGGGGAGCACACAGCTGCTGGGGTGGGCGATCTATTTGGCTGAGCGGCCCTAACCTCCTCTCTAGAGACAGCCTACATCTCCTCCTGGCCCAGGTATGACCGTTAATCTTCATGAGCAAAGCAGCAATACATCACGGCCCGTTAATTACGGGACCCAGCCATCCATTAAGATCAGAAACGCTGGGTTCTTTAGCATCAGGAGATTGTATCTTTTCCCTGTTGTTAATTGTGATTTATGTGTTTATTTAAAGAAAACACGGACCCTCTTGAGCAGTGCTCACTGCGTGGGCCTCGGCCGGGATTTGCTCAAACGCTTATTTTCTCCGTCATCTGTTCGGGTGGAGGGTTTTCAGTCCCCAAGGAGATGTTGAGGGGCCGCCATCAGCCATCAGATTTGGAGCAACCATAGGGCCGGTTAGAGGCTGCGTGGCATTTTACCGGGACACTGCGAAGCTAGTCTGGGGAATTCTTGGCAGAAGGAGGGAAGGATTCATGATGGAAAAGTTTTACTCATTCCCTAGAGCTGGGCTGAGTGTTTGGACTTATACCCACAGAGCCTGGGTGTGCATTTCCCAGGGGTCTTGCAGAGTGTCCTAGTGGCAGGGCTGTGACCCAGCGCTGGGTTCTGATGGCGTGGAGTTTTCACAGCTGGGGAACAGCAGACTCAGACCCCTAGCACCTGTGCCTAGGTACATGTCCACAGTGACCACTCCGGAAAGGACCCTCCATCCCCACCAGTTTCTGAAGCCCTTGGCCTGTCAGGTTGGATAGAGCTGAGGGACAGGGCTGACCTCCACTCTTCCTAGTGTTTCAGGGTTCCTTCTATGTGGACAGAGCTCTGGCCTCCACAGATGGAGGTGAGGTGGATGAGGGCCTTGGGGAAAAGGAGTGAGGACGGATGGGGGACAGAGGAGAGGAAGCAAGAGAAGGGCAGGGGTAGAGGAAGAAGAGTATGAAAAGGAGGAGAGGAGACAGGGATGAAGGAGCAAGGAGGAGGAGGCAGGGAAAGAGAAGGGGAGGAAGGGAAGGATGACAGGGAGAGGAAAGAGGATGAAAGGGAAAGAAAGTGGGGTGAAGAGGAAATGGAAGAGGTGGTAGAGGGGAAGAGAGAAGGGGAGGAGAAGAGAGGAAGGGTGGGGAGGAAGGAGAAGAGAAAGGGAGGGTGGAAGAGGAAAAGGAGAGGAGGGAGGAGGGAGGGGGAGGAGGGAGAGGAAAAGGAGGAGGAGGGAGAGGAGAAGGGAAAGGAGGAGGGAGAAGAGGAGAGGGAGGAGGAGGGAAAGTGAGTGAGGAGGGAGAGGGAGAGGAGGAGGGGGAGGAGGAGGGAGAGTGAGTAAGGAGGGGAAGGAGGAGGAGGAGGGAGAGGAGGGGAGGAAGGAGGAGGGAGAGTGAGTGAGGAGGGAAAGGGTGAGGAGGAGGGAGAAGAGGAGGAGGGGAGGAGGAGGAGGGAGGAGGCAGGAGGGAGAGGGGATGAGAAGAGGGAGAGGGGAGCTGGAGGTGACAGGGACAGAGGAAGGGAAGAGGTGCGGGCAGCAGGGAGGTGGCACCTGTACTTGTTGGGGAACATCCTCTCGCAGTCCTTGCACTCATGGGCCTGCCCGTCCCCACCGCCTGTGCTGCCCAGGCCCTCGGGCTTCAGGTCATCAGCCAGGCCCTCGTAGAGCATGGCACCCACTGAGCCGCACGCATACTTCTTGTGACGACGCAGATCCAGCTTGGATTGCAGAAGCTCGTCACACTCTTCGCAGCGGAAGGTGCGCTCCTCTGGAAAACAGGGAGCAGTCGGGTGGGCACCCCGGACCGAGACCTGCAGAGGGCAGGGGGCCCCAAGCTCACCATCCCCATTGCCGCCCACTGTGGTTGCTATCATTGGATTCTAGGAGTGGCTGCCTGAGGAGCAGGGTGGGGGCAGTGAAGACCACAGAGACACCTGGAGCCCCTGATGTCAGCAACGCCAGCAACACAGAGAAACAGTGGCCCTCCTTCCTTCTAAGTGAGGGCTTAGAGGCCCAGGCTCGGAAGCAGGGCGGGAAGCCAGGCCAAGTGCTTTGTTTATGAATCAGGAGGAAAAAGCCAACGGAGATCTAGTGCATATCATAAATTATTGTCGTCAAGGTCAAACAAATTAAAGGGGGGCAGCTATTATTAAGTTTACGAGGCGGCATCCTGACCACAGTGCCAAGCCAAACAATCAGCCCAGAGCTGTAAATTTCCCGGGGGAGGCACTGGGCCCATCCCCAGCTCCTCCTGCCTGACTGCTGTCTGAACAGCCGCTTTCCACTCAGCACACAGGCCCCCTCCCTTCCCAAGAAGCACCCTGGGGCCCACCCAGGTCTGTAGAGAGGACAAGTGGATGAAACTTCTGCACAAATTATTCAACGGTGTGCATCCACGTGGGCATGTGTGCAGATGTGCATGTGTGTGCACATGGATCAGTATATATGAATACTGTGTGCACATAAATGTGCATATCTGACCTGTTTGTGCATCTTTGTGTGACTGTGTGTGAATGTGTGAGCATGCATATAGACTCATGTGCATGTACACATATGAGCATGAGTATCTGGGCATGCGTTTCTGCATGTGCTGTATGTGAGTGTGCGCACATATATTACACGTCTGTATTTTTGTGTGTGTGTGTGCATAGATGCAATTGTGCGCATGAGTACATCGGTACACATTTGTGGGTTCATGTATGTGTACTTATGTGTGTAAATGTGTGTGACAACACACTTACATATGTGAATGTTGCATGCACAAATGACTATACATGTGTGTTTGGACATGCAAAGGTGCACGTGTTAGGTGTATGCCTTTGTTCTTATATTACATTTAAGTGCATGATTCATGTGCACACATGTATATGCATGTATGCAATTGTGCAAATATGCATGTGTTTGTGTGAATACCCATGCCCTGCATGCACAAGCATGTGGATGTGTGCATATTTGCATAGGTTGTGACTGTGTATCATGTGCACTAGTAATTTTGTATGCATGTGAGTGTGATCAGGCATGCATGTTACATGCAGGCCTATGTGTGTGGTATGTGTGCATGTTGTTTGTGTGTACCTGCACAATGACTGGCCAGGTGCATGGCCTAAGCAGGGCCTTCATATATGTAGAGTGCTGCTGACTGAGGTGTGGTGATCACAGGGTGGATGCCAAGGGGATCTGGGCAGATGAGGGACCGATGGAAGAGGAAGTAAAGAAAACCATAAACATGAATCATTCCAGCGCTCACTGTCTGGGCAGGATGAAGGTTCCAGGGGAGGCCTGGGAGAAAGGGTCACCTCCCTGAACCTAGGAATAGGACGCTGTTACCATGACCTGGCCTGGGTCACAACTGGCATTCCACAGACACCCCTGGTGGGCACTCTCATGAGCAGCTGGTTCTGAAAACCCACTGATCATATCCACAGGGCATCAGGTGATCGATCCCTCATGGACCCCAACATAGCCTTGGCTTCTAGAAGTTGCTATCTTTCATGTCTCAGGCCAGAGGCAACTTATCTGGTGGCTTGGGCTAGAAGGAGTCCTGGGGACTCTTCCACTGAGACTGGCCAGGCAGGATCCACTGGGGTCAAGACACACAGACCCTCTCGATGTGCTCATTGGGCAGAGTCTGACATCCTGACCTGCTCACACCAGCCGCTGAAAAGAACCCACTTGCTTGGGGGAAACAGGAACATAAAGGGGGCCAGCAACTGGGTACAAAGAGTATGTAGAGTCATACCCCAGCACCCAGTTCTGCTCTGGGGGCTGCACCCCTGAGTCTGGACCCTGCTCCATGCCTCTGTTTGAGCCCCTTGGGGCCCTGCCCCAAACATCCCAGTAAATGCTGCAACTCAGAGCTTTCCCAGACACCTGCTGAGCTGCAGAATCAGAACAAGATGGTTAAACCAGTCTGCACTAACCACAGAGTCCACTGGGACAGAGAGGACAGGGAGAGTGGTCAGGCCAGGGAGCCTTTGCAGAACTTTGCAGAAACAAAGGCAGGCAGTAGCCACTGGGGCTTCTAGCAACAACGCAGCCAGCTGGCCAGAGCCGGGATTACCAGACCTGTTAAGGTCAGCGGGCAGAGAAGACTCTAACACAAGATTCTGTCTGAGGGCTGGCTCTCCTTGGGTGCCAGGGTGAGAAAGGGCTGGCACGGTGCTTCATGCTAAGACACAGTTCCCCTTGAAGACTACAAAAGGCTAAACTCAAAATGTCATCCAAAATGCAAACTCTTTTCAGGAACAATGTCTGTGAAAATAGCATGAAGAAAGAGATTAGCAATGGCTGTTTACTAGCCCATCTGCTCTAAGAACTGCCCGCTGTTCACACATCAAAGACTCCGTCAACCCAGGTAGGCACTCTGCCCATGCCTGCTGCATAACTGATAAACTGAGGTGGGGGATAGTGAATGACTTGCCCAGGGTCCATAACTGGACAGGGCAGAGCTGTGTAAGAGGCAGGAGGACCAGTGTACACCCACTTTCCCACACAGGGCATGAGGAATGCAATATGCTTTGTAAGTTTGTTACTTGTTTGCTCTCAGTCCCTTCCGGGGGTTTTCCACTTATCTTTAGAAATCTGGATTTTGACTTGGGGATGAGCACTTGATATCTGAGCACCAAGAACTCAGTTTTAAAATTGGAGCTGAGTGCCAAGACCACATGGAGGTGTTTGTGGGTTGATTCCAGCTTCTTAAGCTGGAGAGAGTCTGAGATGCCTCCCCCAACTCCCCAACAGCATCACTGAGTTAGAACTCTGTCTGTATCAAACTAGGAACAAGCCGAGGGGTATAGACATTGAAGCTTGAAAGCGAAACCAAGAAGTGCCAACTCCACCATCCATGGTACTAACTGACTGATTTTTCCAGTTTCAACTTGGAATTTGGGTTGAAAATAAACATGCGTTTTCCTCTGACAGTATTCTGAGTGTCCAGGAGGCACTGGGATTGAGCACAGTGATGCACAGTCATACCCAACTCCTGCCCCACATGAGTCACATTGGCCGGTCACAGGTTGGGGCCGGGGCCAGCACACATCGATGTCTCTCTGTCCCTACTGACAGGTGCTGGATGAGGCCTGTGTTTAAATACACACTGGGGTGTGAGGGGCTGATGCAGAAGGGATGGGCACTGTTTTATGTCATGTTTATTTTCCTAGCACAAGGAATTCCATTTTCAAGAGCTATTAAAAGTACATGTTATATTCTGATTACTTATTATAATGGCTGCAGCTTCTGTTAGTTTCCAATGAGCTGATTCTGACTCATGGAGCCCCACGTGGGCCGGGAGTAGAACTGTGCTCCATACGGGTTTCAAGTTGTGGCCTTTCAGAAGCACATCATCAGAGCTACCTTCCAAGGTGTCTCTGGGCATATCTGAAACAACAACATTTTGGCTGGTAGTCTAGTGTTACGTACTGTTTGTACCATTCAGGGAATCCTTTATGTATCATGTCATATATCATATCTTATCATATCAGGAGTCTTGGTGGTGCAGTGATTAAGCACTCAACTGCCAACCAAAAAGTCAGTGGTTCAAACACACCAGTCGCAAGATGAGGTAGTCTGCTTCCACAAAGATTTACAGCTTTGGGAATCCTAGGAAGCTATACTCTGTCTTATAGGGGGATTCAGCTCATTAGCAATGTTGTGGCCTGCAACACAGTAAATTACTTAATATGGTTTCATTAGTCAAAATCTTTATGTTGTTGTTGTTGTCAAGTGTTATTGAGTCGGCTCTGACCCATAGTGACCCTGTATAGGGTTTCCGAGGAGCAGCTGGTGAGCTTGAACTGCTGACGTTGCCGTCCAAACCAACTTTGTAGTCCTGTGCATTAACCCACAGCCATGCCAGGTCTCCCATCCAAGTACTAACTAGGCCTGATCCTGCTTAGCTTCTGAGATCAGAGAAGATTGGGTGCATTCAGGGTGGAAATCTTTATAGCTCCTACCAAATGATTGGGTGGAGTTATGCAAACGAAGTGCTGGTGGACCACCAAGGGGATTGGATAGTTTGATAATAATGTAAATAAGGTGTATGGTACCTTGAGGGACCTCTAATGAGGGAATTGGTCAGGTTTGTTCAAATCAGTGAGTGGAGTGGAGTGGAGTGGAGTGAGTGGATTGGAGTGCCTCTGGGCACTTACCTGCAGAGCTAAAAGAGCTTTGTTAACACTTGCCCAAGCAGGGCAGAGGCCAAACCCAGAAGGAGAGGTATGCCTATGGACAGGGCCAAGGATCTGTCTTAATCGAAGAACCGTATCCTGAGTCATTCCTAGTCCTGATTTGTAAACTGTTACCTTTCCCAATAAACCTCATAATCCTGAGTATTGTCTGTGAGTTCTGTGCAATGGATCAGCAATCACAGAAGAGAAGTAGGGAGTGCCATGGGAGGGACCGCTGGTGTCAGGATTAGTAAGAAGGTTGGAGGATGGATGCACATCTGACCTTTACCTCATGGGAATCAAACTTGGGCTGTTGATCTGATACCGATTCTTTCATAAAGTTAGATGAGATTAGACCCTTCCACCATGCCAATTTAGAGATCATCTGAAGAACAGATTTGATGAATTAAACACTAAAGACCAAAGACCAGAAGAGTTGTGGGATGACATCAAGAACATCATA